CCCGCCACCCCGAACTATCGATCGCCTCGACAGCTGATCATGGCGCTGACCTTCGCAGCTGGATGCATTCATTGTCGTCGCCGTTCCTCCCACATTCCTCACTGGCTATTTGTTTCATTTCCTCAAAGAAAAAACATCTGAAATTGTCATCATCACGTCCTCGTTGTCCTCACGGTCCACTTTTTGATGCTTTAGTGCAGTTCATAGCGAATGGTTGAGTCGCTCTGACCTTTGGCTCTTCATTGAGTGGAAATCGAGGCGCTCATCCAGTAAGGGGGGCATCAAGTGGCTGCCCTCACCCCCCACCCCCTAGACTGCCTACACTCCCCCTGGCGCACAGGTTTCTCGAAGTACGGGACCCCGTGAGCCAGGGGGAGTGAAGGCAGTCTAGGGGGGTGGGGGTGAGGGCAGCCACTTGACGTTGCATCACAATGCCCCCCCCCCCTTTACCGGATGAGCGCCAATCGATTCTTGCTCATTGTTAAGTGCATGGCGTATTCCGTTAGTGGTCAGTATTCATTTTGGTGCTATACAAGTAGGGCGGGCACGCCGCAGAAATGTGTGTAAGTTGGACTGCTGCCCGCTACTTACTGTCACGAGAATCGGAGAATTTGTGAGCAAGGGGGAGCGTAGCTAACAGGGGGGGCAATCACTTGACATGCGTGAAAAGCTGGGCTTACCCACCCCACTTGTACAGAGCCCTCGTTTTCTCCACTAATAACCGAAATCGATTGAATTGAAGTCGCAAGTGATTGGGTTGTTGAAATCGATGCTCTCGCGACGTTCGGGGGGTCCCGTGAGGTTCGTCGTTGGTCTTTGGAATGTGAACGTCGGCGCTCAGCCCGTGTTAGCATTCGATGCACGCGACTTTCGGGGAAATTCATGAGATCCTCTCATTTATTCCTTCGTTGATGCTCCGTTTCCGTGACATGCGAGAAGTCATCGCCAGCCGACTGGAATTTTACCGTTCGTTACTATTCTGAAATATCCCATTAAATTGTTCATGAAGTCAGTGAAAAAGTTATTCAGGAAATTTTGGTGCTAAGTGGGTTGGGGGGGGACCGGCGGCGCGCGGTCTCTCGAGCGTGATGGGTACTAACAAGGAGGGTCCTTCCAGGAGATGAGCCTTTTTTCACAATGGTTCGCCCAGTTTTTGTAGATTCCCTTCTGGGCAGTCCATTTTTCCTGAACGCCCCTAGGAGTCAAAACGGGAGAAGAAATGGTCCAAAGTTCGATCCTCCGTCATGACAAATTTTTGCAATTTATCTTGGGGCCTCCAAAATGCCGCAAAACACGACAATTACATCTATTCTCGACGATGGAGCCATTTGGCCGCAATCTGGGGCCGCGCCAAACTATATTGCAAAAATTAGTCATCACCGGGGATCGAACTCGGACCATTTCTTCACCACTGTTTTGACATTCCTGGAGGCGTTCAGGAAAAATGGATCATGGTTCTGTGTTCCTCGCATGAGCCCCTACAACATGCAGAAAACCATTTCGAAAAAGCGCTCCATGTCCTGAAAGACCTCCCTTGTAAGCCTGGGGCTAGGTAGTAGTGGGTAGGCTGGGGATAGTGTTATTATGACTTTGTGGAGTCCAACTTTTAGCACACTTCAGCCTCCTTCTAGGCTCAGGCTTAGTGCCATAGCGATTTGCAGACGCCGAGCTGCCCTGTGCCCCCCCCCCCCCCCAGTTTGGCTGTTCAAAGACGACCTGTCTCCATCATGGTCAAAAATCTGTTCGGAATTTCCCAACCCAGGGTCGCATTTTGTGATTTTGGTGAGAGTGGTCGTAGTTTTGGAAGACCGCCATCTGACGCGCTCTTATACAACTATGGTGATTGAGGGTTATGGGGGGGATCCAATTTCGAAATTTTCCCCGGCGTGACGGTTGACGTCGGTTTCAGCCCGATTGCCTAAATTGGGGTCAAAAATCAACGCACAGCTCTGCATAATGCGGAAGTAAACCTTACTGCGCTGAATATTTATATTGCAGATGGCCCTCCCGCCACTCGGAGTTCCTGGGGTAATCCGTCTGGTCGGGGAATGGCACGTTTTCTGTTCGGTTCCCTGCTGTTTTTGCTGGCCAAGGCCGCGGATTCGGTCAAATTTCCGGCTTTTCGTGAAAATCGAGTTAGACGAGAGCTTCGACTAACGAATCTGCCGCCTCTGTTCCCTTCTTTTGTGTGGCGCTTTCCCACGTCCACTCTCTTCTCCACCGTTGGAATCCGTTCGAAATCTGGCTTTGCTTCTTCTTCTGTCGTCATTTCACATTCGATCGATTGTTTACTGATGGTGCTTTGAGAGATTTCGCGATTTGATCCCTCCTGTTTTGACATTTATGAAGCTTTCAACGTTATGTGAAGGTTGACCCGTGAAAATGGAGTTGGGAGGGGCAACAGCACTCTGCTCTGCGGCTCTAACGTTAAAAAACTTCGGTAAAACGCTCATTTGAAGTAGTTTTTTGATAAAAACCGCAGTAGTAGTGCCCTATATGTCGACTTTTTTGGCACATTTTCAG